AAGCTTTAGAGGCTTCCCGCCTTTCTACTACCAATGTTCATTCAGAACTCCATCGTATTTGTAACACTTGCCCCGAGTGTCATTCCAAAATCACATAATTCAAATAAACTAAGTGTGGTTAAGGAGTTGATCCTAAATCCAACTTAGGAAACAAATCATTTAAACCACTAAACAGATACAACATCATAAAATTAACATTTAAAATATTAAAAAAATTTATAGGTTTTACCTATAGTGCACGAAAGTAAGTTAGATGAAAGCGAGGTAAAAAGATGCTATCATGATAGACTTTTGAGAGGTACTGTTCTATCATCCAGTCCCTAATTGAAGTAATTTTAAAGTTCACACGTCATTCTTAATGATTACTAGTAGTACACCAAATTTAAAAAAGATCTAACGGTCGGATTAAAAATTGAACATGTTACAAGTTTGGTCATTTTTGTTGTCAAGACAGCTTTTTAGCTGTCATGACAGCACCTCCAGAGTAACTTTCAGAGTGCATTATTTCATTTCGATCAGAGTGATTCCAGAGCTCACATGTCACATTCAAAGGGTACTACAAGTGTACTAAATTTTAAAAAGATCTAATGGTTAGATCAAAATTCATGCATGTCCTAATATCACACTGTTGTTGTTATGACAATACCTTTGAACCAAATTTTGGAGTGCGTCATTTCTTCATCGGTGTCCGATCGATGTGATTTCAAATCCCACATAAAACTTATAAAAAGTTTTACTTGTGACCTAAATTTTAGAGAAATCTAACGGTCGGATTAAAATTTGGACACTCAGATGTAAAAGTGCATTTTTTTTGGTAAAAACTATTTTCAAAATTGTCCAAAGCTCATCCTAATGGTCACAAATTTGTGAGAACACTTTGGACACGTCAAATAGGACTAAAAACACTTGATAGAACATTTAAATGATAGAAAAAACCATTTATACTAAAATTTGACAACCCAAGTGCCATTTTCCAAAATAGACCCTAAGTCCTCAAAATTTACAAATCACACAAGAGTGGCCAAAAACCATTCTAAATATCATATACACGCTAAATATTTTCACTTGTCTTAGAGATCTCCATGGGGTCTATGTACCTACTCTTTCTATCCAAGGTATATGTTTGCCCATAGCATACCATTTGCAATGCAACTACTTTGAATTTGCTTGTAGAATCACATATATATCAAAATAAATATTTGCTTGTAGTAGAAACTTGATCTACTACATAAATCCATCAAAACCACATACCATAACTAGGTTTCCTAGCCACAAGTATACAAGCAGAAAAAAATTCATACACAAGCCATACAATCCACACATATTCACACACATATTTACATAATTACATCCTACTGGCACCCTAATCCTAAATACATTACAATATATTTGCTTAAAAGAAAGGGGTTGTAGTTCTTTATAATCCACAAACAACCCCTAGCTCTGCTCCTTTCTCCGTCACCATTGGTTCCTTTACCTAGACCTGAAAATATTGAAAAGAAAGGGGTGAGACAATCACAGTCTTAGTAACAGAGAAATCTACATTGACTATTACAAAGTAAGCCATAATTGAATAAACAAATAATAAATTCAACGTAGTATATAATTTAGCCATTTAAAATGCATGAATGTATGACATAGGCTGGTATAGCCTTTCATGACCAACAAAATGTCCTCTGGTACTCTTTAACTTACAGGTAAACTTTATACTTACTTGTACCTCCACAAGCACAAAACATAATCTAAGTTAATCCATCGAACTACCTATGCCCCTTCGACGTGAATCCTGAGCAGTCGAAGCTAACTCCCTTTTAGAGCCAACCTAACTTACTCTCCATGTGAAGGCTACCTTGGCCTAGGCACTCAACCTCACACTTTATATGTTCGATTCCCTCCCCCACTGAGAGGTGTGGAACACTTAATAGACTAACCACTTTAGTACACTGAGCTCACAATACGTAAGGCAATACTAAGCACTGGCAGTGTGCCATAGAATATTACAAGTCCACATCTTCTCATTGGTGAATTCCTGTTGAGATCATGCCTTTACTCTTGTCTACTTTTCTCAAGTATTAACCACTTCAACACTCTAAGGTAAATAACATTTATAAATCTCTCTTAAACGGTTCCTTAGCCTATCTAAGGTACCTAACTTATTTACACTTCCTTAAGTGCAACTTTTATTCTTTATGATTACAATACATGCAAACAAATCTCGTTTCCATAAAAATATTATTGTTAAATAATTAGAAAACATATTTGCAATATAATCAAAGTAGTACCCCATAACCCCTTATAAAGCACATTTAATCTTTTAAAATGTAATGCGTGATAGTTAGTAATATTTATTCAAAAATAACTAAACAAAGTAATAAGAAATATAAATTTCCCTGTTACCTCAACCCTTTGGTACTAAAAGTGTTCCTCTTGTACAAAATAAGACTTGGCTTGTTCCTTAACTTCTCAATAAGTTTCACCAACAATTTCCTACAATATATGAGTGATCCATATTACTTTTTATGGGAAATAGTATTAATGAAGACTATAACTCATACCACACAACTTAGGTCAATAAGCCATAATTCATCCTAATGGTTAATATTATCTAACCACTAAAATCATTTATTATCTACCACTAGGCAATTTTCAATTCATATAATTTTTAATCAATTAAAAATCTTCACTTAGTGTCACCAACTTTCACTATTAGTCATTATAATGAAAACCAAACCTTAATTTAAATCTTACAAGGCTCAAATAGCAAAATTATAACTAAATCGATAGGCTTAAACTATTGAGGAGAAAAACTCAACCTCTTGGGGTTTGACTTTTGCCCTAAAACTTCATTTTTCATTCAAATGCCCACTCAAAACATTAGGGTATTATTTAGAAACTCAAAACAACCTCCCAAGGACTCAAGGAAACTAAAGCTTACAAGAATAAAGCCTTTTGAATCAAATTTCAAAAATTTTTTCTTCTAAAAATTGAAGAAAACCAAGAGGAAAGGAAGAAGATTAAAGTAGGAAGTTTACCTATCTTGTATTCGAGCTCGCAACAGTCATAAAGCCTCTTAGATCCAATCCTAACTCTCTCTCTTCCTCCTCTCTTCTTCCTCTCACTCTCTCATTTTCTTTCTCTTTGTTTCTTTGCTTTCTTTGTTTCATTTCTGCATGAAATGGCTCTTAAAAAACTGATCCAAAAACTTTAGAGAAAATTACAAGAAAGGGTCTAACATTTCTTAATTATAACACAAAAGCTTGGGTCAATTTTGGTAATTTTTTTCATAGTTAAAAATAAAATAAAACCCAACTTTTGCTTAGTAAAATTTGAACTCAGACCTCTCTCATACTATTCTTAATTTTAATTTAATTATACATATTTTATTTATATTTTTTTTATAAATCTGAGTCTTAAAATTTCAGGATGTTATAGTATTCAAGACCCACTCTTACTAGATCTGCTCATAATAAAAGTTATTGAGTAGATTGGGTCCATCAACTTCTCACTATTTTACACATTAAATTCATAGATCACCAAGGATTGTAGAAGTTTAAGGCCAATGCTAGGAGATGCTATAGTCGTTACCAGACTAGATCCAACCAAATTAAATATCTAATGGTGTAGAGAATTGAACTGAAAGGTCTCTAAGAGCACCAAGAGCATCTCCTAGTGTAACATCTTGGGAAATTTTTTATTAAGGATTAATTAGGGATAGAATGATTTAATCAATAATTAAATTCATTAATTCGAGATTAATAGGAGATATTGAGCATTTCTAACCTTGATTGAGGTTTAGAGTTATGTTCGAGAGTCAATAAGCCACTTTGAGCCTAGTTGGAGATGATTAGAAGTGGGCTTTGGTACCACTGTGCCATTCATTGCAATGGATCACGTCAAATTTCAAATTTCAATACGTGATGAAATAGTGCAAATAGAAGGGAAGTGTGGGAGAACTCAAGAGGGGCAATCTTGCTTTGCCAGAGTTAGTGGTTTTCAACTCTTGAAAGTTCATGGGAGCTAGATAACTCTTGGTTATATTCCAAAACTCTCTTCTCCACCCTTCTCTATAGATTTCTTCTTAGTGTTTGGGTTGATAAGGTAATGATCCGAAAATGGTGGGATGTCTTGCTAAGTTTATGTCATTATTGAGAGTAGTAGAGGTTTGGTAAGTGTTCTAAGCTTGGGTTCAAGCCATTAATGTTGATTCAGGATTTACAAGTTAGAAGCATTTATTAGCATAATAAATGACATTTTGCAATTGTTTTATTGATTGTTAGCTTCGGGCGAACCTTGATAAACTAATGAGGCACCGTTGATGGACTTGGGAAATGATCCATCACCTCAATGTGATCTTTTGGTTTAAGCTTTGATTAATAAAATTAATTATGATTAATCATAATTAGTCTGTAATGGCAAGTTTATGAATTATGATTAATAAAATTTCAAGAAAAATTAATATAAATTATATTAACTAATTTATCTCTTATTATATTAAAGTTATATTTCATTAAATTTTTTTTACATATATGTTTAAAATATTATTTTAACTAACCTATATATTCAAATATTTAAAAAATTAATAAATAAATTATTTTACATAATTAAAAATTTTAACCTATGAAAGGAAGTAAGAAAAAATATATCCACTAAATATGTTTTTGGATAACTTAAATAAATTTTAGATAATATTTATATTTATGAAAAAGTATTTTAGTTCAATATATACATGTTAATAATTAATAAATAATTGGACGTATGGAAATAAATATTCATACATTTTTAAGATGTATGAAACTAAAATAAGGTGGGAGTAAGTATATTTTTATTTTATTTAAAATTTAACTGCGATTTCAAATTTCAATACTTTTGTTTTGAATTTGAATTCATTATTCATATTCTTTGAATGAGTTTATTATTTTGAAATCAAAACGTAGATCCTCTGCTGACATGACCCAGCGAGCCCGTTAGCACGGTAAGACCGTGGCCTACCATTTCCCAAAAAAAAAAAAAAAAAACCGTAGAACCTCTGAGGAAAATTAGATTGTCCGCTGAGAACAGAGAGGCTGCGGGTGATTAGGGTTCTAACGCGCCACCATCTTCATGCTGTCCCTTCTCCGATCTGCTCGACCTCTCAAGTATGTATCTTGCTAATTTCTTCTATTTGCAGAACTGCTTCATGTTTTTATTCTCACTATCTAATTTCATTGCGTTTTCCCTCATCTTCCAGCATCACAACAGTCGTTATCTAATTTCTGTTGTTCTCTATTTATAATTCAAAATTTTCCCATTTATTTACGCTTTGTATGCTAAAACATTGGATCAAATGGGATTATTCTTCACTTTTTTCTTAAAAAATAAAATTATAACTCATTTGGGAAATTCAGCTTTGAAGCATGGGAGGTTGAGATGTTCTCTCTTATTAGCAGGAAGCAAGAATGTTGTCTGAAGTTTTATGGATTACCATGTGTGAGCCGAGATTCAAGTAACTTCTGTGGAGACAGGGCTGGAGGAAGCTATCCTGAACAATTAAGTTCGAGGTTTTCTTCAAGAGAGGAAATTCGGTGTTGTCTACCCGTATTTGGAAATAACTCTCTGGGTAGTCATAGGCTTTTCTCACAGATAAGTGAAAAAAGTGGTCATGAAAATGATGTGAAAGACACTTCCGTGGAACTTGAAAAGATTATTTCAGGTAATGTGAATGAGGGTACTGATGAGGACTTTGAGGAGGATGAAGCGGTGGAATTGGTTTCAGAACCTGGATTTCTGGATGAGGATTTGTCAGACTCTGAGGCAGGTCTGAGCACTCTGGAGCCTTTGAAGGAAAAAGCTTCTTTAAAATTGTTTAGAACCTTAGTGGAGATTCCATCCAGCTTGATCTCCAAAACTCTTGATAACTTTTTTAAAGATGGGGGAGGTTTGAGCCAAGAAGAGGCTTCTAAGATCATATCTTGTCTTCGGAAGTGTCGAATGTATGGAAGGGCATTGCAGGTGATTTTCAAATATTTTTCAACTAAGAACTTCTATTTGTTATTAAGTTTGCTACAAAGTTCTTGATTGATTATTTTCATTGTTTTTCAAAATGACCTTGCAGGATTGATTTTTCATTAAGTCTTTTAATGCAATTGTTTGATTCAAATTTGCATGGGCAAGAAGCTTCTATTATTTTACATTCGAATGAAGCTTTTATTGATTATCTGCTGGCTAGGTTGTCAAGATTTAAGTCTTAAGATTCTTTGTAGGATCAATCGAAGGGTAAAAAATGTTGAATTGGAAGATTGGAACCAAGACCATAAGATTCTACCACTTTAAGACAAGAAACAAAACAAATAGTTGCATAGAACTCTTAGATAGGCATAAACTATTAAAACCTCATTACACTTCAATAAAATGTGTCATAATTTGCTAGTCACAAAATCATATAAGTAATAAGAACCCTTAATTTTCCAAAGTGGTATTACCATACATTAAAGTATTAAACATGTCACGTGTCATGAAAGTCACTAATCTCAAGGATCAAGATAGAAATTTACAGTAATTATCTGAATTCAGGGACACTCAATAGTCAAATCGATACAGCAAATTTCAAGGATGTTAATAGTCAAGACACAAGAAACAAGGAACTAGCAAATTGAATCACAATACATGCTATATTTTAGCCTTCAGAATAGAGCATTTTGAGTCATATAACCTTCAGAATAGAGCATTTTGAGTCATATAATGTGCGGGCATGTGCAATCTTCTAGTCTTAACTAGGTGACCACAAGATGGGTCATCTTCAACCTTACATAGAATTAGGGTAGTTTGATTGGTGGGTTTATACGATCCTATGGTTTAGATAATGATCTTGACAACCATGTCTTCTGTTGTCCAATATCTCCTAGGTGTTTAGCATGATTTCTGAATCTTTCATTTTTCATTTTCATTTTTTTACATTTTTCTTTATTAAGAAGTGTGTGTAGACAATTGAAATGTTACTTTTCTTTTGCTATTGTTTGTTGTAAATATTGCATTTTCAATTGATAGGATGCTTCTTTGGGATGTCATGCGAACAATTTTATTTAAGCTGTTGCAATGTAAGTTATAAAGGGACAAATGATGCAGTTTTTCTAGTTTCCTGTTGGTGCTCCACCGAAGTGAGTATAGTTAACAATTAGCATAGCATTTTCCCTAAAAACTTGGAAGATATTTCGGCATTGAGCTTTTTCTAATTTGATTGTTATATATATTTGAGTCTCTTTTGAGAAATAGTGTTTGACCAAAAGAATCTGAGTGTAAAGGGATAGTATCTAAGTTCTTAGTAGTATTCGTTACCTAATAACTGCATTATTCTTTTTGCCTTTGCAATTTATCATGGTAGCTGACTTCCATTTTTATATGGTTACTAATACATAAGTATGTGAATGTGGTGCTAGCCAGGGAAGCACCTTTGGTTGAATGAGAGTTGGAAGGTTAGAGGGATTTGGGTACTCTGCTGTATATGCAAGGAAGATTATCTCAAATTATTCTTGTTCTAAAAAGAGAGGTAAGAAGAGGTCAACTATTGGCTTTTGGTGGTGGTTGTAAATAGTACCTGCAAATTGAGGTACTTGGTTTGATGGTTTCCTGGGTAGATCTGATGAATTAATCAATTAAGGTTGCAAAAGAACATAATCTTGGTAAAATCTGCCAAAGGATTACAGACAGTGTAAGAAATTTAATAAGACATGAAAAGAGTTGAGACGAAGAAAGTTAACTTTGGTGATGCACCCTAGCTTGGTTTTGACTGCATCATCAGGCAACTGAGGAGGCAGCCGTAAATAAACTCATCTGATTAATTATTCCTTTGAGATAATTGAGTACATCATTTAGGATAGGTTTTGTCAAAACTTAGGAACCTAGTCATCTATAATTTAGTGCCCAAGTTTAATAACCAGCTATAAAAGGAATAAATAAAAGTTAAGATACTAATAAAGGTTGGTCCAATTGATAAGAACTTGGCCCACAATCTACAAGGTCATGGCAGCAAATCTTACTGCCAATGTGAGGACATTGTTGGTGGGCGATATGAAAGTATCCCTGTGAGTACTCTTTAAGCCCGGAAGCATGCCCTGATCTTGATGAACCCTCGAAACCCAACTCATTTAAACTTTTGCGCATTAAAAAGAAAGTAAAAGGTAAGATGATTAAATTAAGGAAATTTACCAAGTCAAAGGCCATGCATGTACATGAATAATGGTCCATCTTAAGACCTGAAACAGTCAATCACCAAAATAATCTGATGGAAAATATAAAATTAGCTAAAGTAGAAATTTTCTAAGTGGTTACTGTACATAATGTGCCCATGCAATGCAGATGGCTGCTACATGCATATTCATGTATAATGATCCATTTGGTTTGCATTTGTTTTTCTTTTGTAAATTGTTAATATCTTAATTTTTTTTAATAAACAGTAAGGGAATTTTTCTTTTGTAGGCGGTGCCTACCTTGTTATTCATAGACCAAACTCAAATAAATAAGGTTTTTCTTTTGGCCTGACACAGATAAATAAGGTTTGGAAATAAAATCTAAAACTATAATGTGGTGGAGCCTCTTGAATTGCATGTGTCTTTCATTCATTGGATGCATGATGATCTCTGATCTGTTAGGATAATTCTGGGTAATGAAAAGATTGGAAGAGACAATGTTGTTAAAGGCACTTGCCTCAGCGCCTAAGGCAAAGGTGAGGTGCTGAACATGGCCATTGCCTCTCAATGAAGAGAGGTTGCAACAGCCCAAACTCAACATAGTTATACTTTCCCAAACTCGACTTGGAATTGGAAGAGGTTGCAACAGCCTAGTGGAAGCAGTAGCCTCATACTTACAATGAGCACGTGTATTACATTGTTTGATGAAATCTGTCATGTCATTAATCAGTTTTTTCCGCCAAAATAACGCCTTAATTCTGTGGTAACTGGCCTGAGTTCCAGAATGCCCTCCTTGAGGACTAGAGTGCAACCATTCTAAAATTTGCTGTCTCAAAATATGATCATTTCCAATCACCAACTCTCCTTCCTTCTCAACAATTCTTCATCCCAAATTGCCCCCACATATCATTATTTTCTTGAGTCTTATGAATTTCTGTAACCACAGCATCACTTCCCCAACTGCCCTTGATTTTGTTCAATAATTCAGGAGAAGTGTTTAAAGCCATTTGCTGTTTGGGTATTCTAGAAAGAGCATCAACTACTGAATTATCATTCCCCTTATATATATTGTATCTCATGATCAAACCCAGCTAAGTTTGCAGCCCAAAATATCTGAAATGAAGTTTTTAACTTCTGTCTGAGCAAATACTTCAGACTTTATTGGTCGGACCTGATTATAAATCGCTTCTTTTCAAGATATTGATGCCAATGAAGGACAGCTAGCACCACAGCCATTAACTCTTTTTCATCTATAGAAAGTTGCTGGTGTCTTTTGGCTAACCCTTTGCTAAAGTATGCAATTGGCTGCCCTTGCTGCATTAGAACAGCCCCCACGCCCAAACCACATGCATCTATCTCAACAACAAATTTTTTAGTAAAATCAGGAAGAGAAAGGACAGATGCTGATGTTAATACCTTCTTAAGATTGTTAAATGCCTCAGAAGCCAAATTTGACCATTTGAACCCATCCTTCTTAAGAAGACAAGTTAGTGGCTTTGCTAGAGCTCCATAACCCTTGATAAACCTTCTATAGTACCCTGCAAAACCTTAGGTTCAGGCCATTCAGTAGCCACTTGAATTTTTTTTTTTTTTTTGGATCTGTCTTAACTGTTCCATTACCAATTATATGACCCAAATACTCCACCTTAGTTGCTGTAATGTAATATTGATGCTTCCTCAAAATGGAAAAGGCTTCTTTAAGATGCTGCACATGGTCATCCAAATTAACACTAAATCAATATATCATCAAAAAATATTAGCCCAAACCTTCTCAAATAAGGGCAAAATATGTTGTTCATGGCTCCTTGAAATGTAGCCGGGGCATTAGTTAAACTAAATGGTATAACTAGCCACTCATAGTGCCCACTATGTCTTTTAAAAGCAGTTTTTATAACATCTTGAGGCATCATCCTAGTTTGGGGATACCCAATCCTTAAACCTAATTTTGTAAAACATTTTGCAGCATTCAACTCATCAAAGAGGTCTTCTACCAAAGGGATGGGATATTGATTCTTCACTATTTTCTTATTTAATTCCCTATAATCTATACACATCCTCCAAGTTCCATCCTTTTTTTTAGACTAAGACTATAGGAGCAAAAAATGGACTAGAACTTTCCTGTATTACCCCATTTGCAATAACTCCCTGTAAACCCTCAATGACATCCTTTTGAGCTGAGGGATATCTATAAGGCTTTAAATTTATAGGATTAGTTCCCTCTTGAAGGACAATAGAGTGATCATGCCATTCATGAAAAGGTGGTAGTCCTTTAGGCATTTCAAAGAGATCAGAAAACTCTTGTGAAGTGGAAGAGATCACTTCTAGAACTTCTAAAAAGGTCTCTATAGATAAAATTTCCACCTTTTCTTGTCCTTTCGTTATTAATTGCAGCAAAAATACTTGATTAGTGTGAAAATCCTCAATTTCCAGCCTCTTTGAATGCACCACACGTAAGGTATTGGGAGGAGTAGCCTGAAGCTTACACATTTTCCCTTCAAGCCAAAAAAGCATAGTTACTCATAATCCCACAATGCATTTTTTCTACTTTTGAGCCATTTAAGCCCAAGCACTAAATCATATGTATGCAATTCAAGAATTCTAAAATCAAAAGAAAATTCCAAGCTTTGCATCCTCCATTTGAATCCTTCCCAAATGCCATGCACTTTAAGCCTTCTTCCTCCAGCCACTTCTACCCATGTTTCATTAGTTCCATCAAGTTGCCATCTAAGCTTTTTTGCGTAGTCCAAAAAATCATGAGTGCCATCACTATCAATTAAAATCTGAAATTGCCTCTTGCCATAGTGTCTTGTGACTCGCATAGAAGAAACTCCATCAACTCCCTCAATCGCCTGAATAGAAATCCTGGGTCTGTTATCTTCTTCCTTGTCGTCAGTAATTTCTTTCAAAAGAGCATCTTCTTCTTGGGTCTCTTGAATTTCAAGGAAGTGGAGTTGTAGCTTCTGATGTTGAGGACATTTATGGTCTCTCAAGATTTTTTCATGACAGTGAAAACATAAGTTTTTGCTCTTGTATTCTGCTTCTTTCTCTGTAGAGAGAATTTTAGACGGCTTATTAACACTTTTTTGGTTAAAAGAAGAGGTTTTTGAAGATAAGGCTGTTGACTTCCCTTTCCCTTGGATCCCATCACTAATTAAAGCACTTTCATGTGGTTTCGTGATTTGGTGAAATGGCTGCGTGGAAGAAGCTGCAGATGCCATGTGTCCACTATTCTTGTGCTAGCTCTTCTTCACAGCTTGCCTTTTAATGTAATTTCTTGCATTCTTGCCAAGCTTCATGCTTCTCTCATGGTTCTTGGTTTAAACAACCTGACAAGTCTTGCAATTTCATCCAATAATCCATTGACATAAACATCCACTTAATATTCCTTAGATAAACTTAGTTTGCAAGAGATGGTATCAAATTCATCATTGTAGTCAGCCAAAGTCCCTTGATGCTTAAGGCACACCAGATTGTGCATGGGTGTCCCATGTATAGGGCCAAATCAATCTCTCAGCTTGTCAATATATTCTTCCCTAGTGGGTTACACATCTGCCCACGCTTTTTCATATGCGACGTGCCATTGGAATGCTTTTGGGTCAAGATGCATACTTGCAATCTTGACTTTTGATTCTTCCTGGGGTTTCATCGAGCTCAAAATAATGCTCGCATTTTAGTATCTAGCCTTTGACATCCTTGAGTAAATTTAGGAAAATCCATTTTGGTGCATTTGTTCGCAATACCCATTTTGTTCTTGATCGTCTTTTGACAATGGTGGTCCTCTAGATCTTGGTTGCGATTTCGTTGATGACTATTGCATCTGACCTTGTCATTTCCCTCGGCCACGCTCACTATCGTGCATGGGCATCTGTAACTGGTTCGAAATGCCCTCAACTAATTCGGTCAAGGCATCAACCTTATTAAAGTTTTCTTCCAGTCGACCCACATGTTCTTCCATTTCTTTCTTGATATGGTTTCGGGTTGAACCATGTACTGTCAACAGTGAATATGAGAAAAGAAGTGGCCGAGGAGTGTTTGCTTTGATACCATTGATCTGTTAGGATAATTTGGGTAATGAAAAGATTGGAAGAGATAGGAGAGAGCAGAGAGAACAGGAAGGTTGGGGAAAGAGTCAAGGAAGGTAAAGACGAGGCAGAGAAGAATTAGGAATGTTAGAGAGAAGGAGAGGTTGAGAGAAATTAAGGAACAATGGGATTTTGCATAGTACTCTTGTGATCATTCAGATAGCCTTACCATTTAAATGTCTCATTATTTATAGGCTTCATGCTCACACTCCCCCAATGGCTAAATCTCAATAACTATCATTTAAATCTAAACTAACTAATATTTTTACAAAACTATAACATTCTCATCTATTTATTAAATCGCGCTTAGGTTGAATTGTGATGTTATGTCAAATGAAGAATGGGAAAAAGTGACTTGACAAATAGAATGGTCATTGACTGTGCTGTTTTTTAAATGTAAAGTAGCCTACGTTAATCTCTAATGGTTGCAGGAGTTCAAAGTCCTTGTAATTGATAATTCGGCGTGTCTTTCAAGATTTTGTGTCACTACTTCTGTCACCTCTCTGCAGCAAGAAAACATATGCTTAGACTTGCTTCTGATGTTATTCTGCTTTTCAGTTTTCAGAGTTGTTGGGCACTTTTAAGCATTTTGAACATAGAGAACATGATTATGCTTCTCGTATTGATCTGATAGCCAAAGTCCAAGGAGTTGATGCGGCTGAGAAGTACATGGATGAAGTTCCAGAATCTTTGAGAGGTAATTTATTGTACGGAACTCTTTTAGCAAACTGTGTCCGTGTTGTCAATAGAAAGAAAGCAGAGGCAGTTTTTGGAAAAATGAGGAGGCTAGGTTTGCCAATCACTACATATGATTGCAATCAAATGATCATTCTTTATAAAAGACTTGATAGAAGTAAAATAGCTGACATATTATCGTTGATGGAGGAAGAAAATTTGAAGCCATCTCGTCTTACATACAGGATCCTTATAGCTGAGAAAAGTGAGTTGAAGGATACAATAGGGATGGAGCTATTGATTGAGGCTATGAAGTCTCAAGGTCTGCAACTTGATATTCATGCCCTGACAATCATTGCTAGTCACTTTATATCTGAAGGGCTGAAAGATAAAGCTCTAGTTATTCTGAATGAAATTGAAAGTGGAAAACTAAAAGACATAAGTGGGGGAAGGAGTGCGTTACTTTCCCTCTATGCTTCTCTTGGCATGGCTGATGATGTGAATAGAGTTTGGACTGTTTGTAAATTAAAGCCCACTATGAATGAGTGCCTTGCTGGTATAGCAGCTTGGGGCAAGTTGGGCAAGGTTGAAGAGGCTGAGGCAGTTTTTGACATGATGCTGAAAAAGTGGAAAGAACTCCCATCTAAGATTTATGCTGATCTTTTAAATGTTTATGTTCAGAATAACAAGATATCTGAGGGGAAGGAGTTTGTTCGTCGAATTGGGGATGTGAAAGGCTGGGTTGGCCCTCTGATTTGGGATGGACTAGTGAGGCTCTATGCTGGAGATGGGGATGTAGGGAAAGCAGATTCAATTTTAAGTAAGGTAGTTGAAGAAAAAAATTGGAAGCGGGTGAGAGTGAGACCAATGTTCAGCACATTTTTATATGTCATGGAACAGTATGCAAAGCTTGGAGACATACATAATACTGAGAAGTGGCATTTTAGAATGAAGCAATGTGGCTACACAGGCCGTCTCAGACCTTATGAAATTCTGACCCAAGCGTATATCAATGCGAAAACCCCTGCTTATGGTCTTAAGGAAAGAATGAAGGCAGAAAATGTATACCCAAATAAGTTGTTTTACTCGAAGTTGGCTCAAATTGAATCAATACAGAGGGAGGTGTTACTGTTCCAGAGTACAAGTGCCTAATGTTTCAAGTGGATGTGTTAGACTCGGTCAATCACTTGGCTATTAACTTCCACTCTTACTCCAGATTGGTATTAAGTCTATCAATTCACCCTGGAAAGATGCCAGTGCGATACAATAAATAATGGTAGGCATTGTATTAGAACATACAGGATTGGGAAATTAGTAAGAACACAAAGGCCATTAGAGTCAGCTACTTGATCGACCTATCAAAACTGTGAAAGTGGTAGAGCCCGCATGCACTGTTTATGAAATGAATAAAGAAATTCTTGAAACTCTGTTGCATACCAGATGTGTAGCCCTCAAGGTGAGAGCAAAATTTTTGTATTGGAAACTACGAGCATGCCATTGCACTAGCAAGATTTTTGTCAGGTTTGAGTTGTAATCTGTAGGACTATAAGCAGGTTGTGACTATGACCATGATGATTGGATGGACTTTTGAAGAAGTTGGTGACATAAATTTATAAGCGTTTGGACTGCTCTTTGAACAATTATTTATATGGTTCAACTTGGAGAAAGCTTTTCAAGGTTTCGATTACGTATTGAATGTTGTTGATATAACCGAAGGCAGATTAAGACCTTGTGATTAAGATTTGGAAGAAAGCTTTCTATGCTTAGAGTCACCTTGCACTTTCACATGTCATTTTGCTTTCCAGCAATTATCTGAGTTTTTTCATTTCCAATCTCTATAGAAGCTTATTTGGCATGGTAGATTTCAACATGAAACCAGTTTATATGGCTCTGTTTGGCTGCAAGTCTGGAAAAGAATCCTTTTCTGTTGGATGATAATTAAGACGTGTAATTTTTAGGGAGAAATATGTTTAGATTACCTTCAACATAGTTACATATTAATCAAGGGAAGATATGTACTATTAATTAAGGGAAGATATATACCATAATTCTTTTTTTATAATTAATCAAGGGAAGATGTATACCGTTAAATTACTTCTCACCAACTGTGCCTTCTAATTTTTGCTATTTTCCTCCTGCTTACTGACCAAAACAACCTCAACTGCGTGATGATCACTTTAATTAGTGTCGTTGCATTCATTAGTTAGACCTAGCCGAATTACATCTGTGAAGATTAATATATGGAACATCGTTAATTTATTCATATATATATATATGATCATACACACACTGAAGATGATTACTATAGAGACAAGGTGATCAAAACCTTGGATAATTTACTCTGATCCTAATACACTACAGGAAAGAAAACATGATACATGCATGTATCCTTGGAGGTAACATTATGTTATGACATAGGTTTCATCCAAATTATTATAGATTAACTGGATATAAATTAAAAAAAGAAGAAGGAAAATCAAAAGGATATACCTGACCGACCTAATTTCTCTTCTACGACTTTGGATAATTTCTGTGTCATCCATGGAGAAAAATGAATGGCCCAGTCTCCTATTTCACCTTTCCTAAAGAAGTGCATGTTTTCACACTTCTTTGGCAAATTTCCAGTCTTGTTCACTTCCAATTCCTTCATCTTCTCAAAGCTGCAAGGTTCAATTATGTTTTCAATGACACCATTGCTTTCCACCTCAGAAGTGAATGGGCAACCCACGAACTTAGCTATTCTTTTCAAGTAGAAATTAATATCTCCTTTCAAATCCTCATACATTAAAAACAGAACCTTGCTGTCTGGTGTCCCTTTGCTTTGCTTCCAGTAAACCAAAATATGTGTCCAAAATGGACCATACTCAATGATCCCTTTGTAATACCTCTAAAAGGCTTGCTCAAGTGATAGTTTGGGTAATGATGGTGGTCTAATTTTGTTGAAGAAAAACCAAAAAGATACGAAATTATCAAATGGGTTGAGACAGATATAGATTGTCTTGCATTTGGACTTGATAATTGAATCAGGCAATGAATGAAATGGAACATGGGTGCCAAAAAGTCTTGGTTCATCAGACAAGTTATTGGAGAGGTGCTCAGGAATAATCTGGCTACCTTCGTAAAGGAACTCAATGATTGGTACAAGGCCATGGGCATTGGAACTGAGCAAAGGATGGTCATTTTGTGAGGAGCGAAACGATTGCGATTTCCAATGGCAAAATTAAGGGCTTAAGCATTTATAAGCTCACACAAGCTTCCATCATTTATAGCATCCCACAGATTCTTAACATGATTTGAAGTAAACATATACCCCCAATCATACAAGGATCTGCCTATTAGTAGAAATTAAAACATCTTGAGCATGCATTTGTAATATGTTACAAGTTCTACATCGAAAAGTCTTACAAGATAAATAGGATTAATAAATTCAAGGCTCTTCAATTTAATAAACTAGTTTTTTTTTTAAGATAAACTCTTCCTTTGAACTTATACCAATGGTGGTGGAGCAAGAACCTGAAGTCAAGATATGCAAGATAATTTAATTTAAAGATTAATAATTTTTTAAAAAATAATAATTAAATTAGGATTAAAATTTCAATAACATAAGAGGATTAATAATCATTTTTCTTTTTGAAAAATTATATTGAGTTGGCTGATACGGTTTATTTTGATATAAATATGCTCCTTATATTTTATCTTAATCATTAAAATAATATATACCTAATGAGCTTTTGAGTTCAAATATTTTTCATTTAGTGTATAAGGTAAAAAATAAGGAAAATTGCAATCAAGAACCACTGGAGGAAATTTGTATAAGTCAAGGATTACTTTTCAAAGTTCGAATGAATACTTGGTGATTTGGGTTAGTCTTTTATCAATAAGTACCCATCTGAATTTTAACAATAACTTATTTTAAATTAACAATAGTTCATTTGGATTTGTTTTTCATTCAGATTTTAACAACAATTAATCTTTGATTGAATTTCATTGCTATATTCCTTACAAAATATCAAGAGTAGGAGGTGCAAAATTATAAAGTTCACTAGAAAAAAGGAGACTCATTATGGCGCAGAATCCATGAAGCTTCTACATAGATACGTGTTCAAATTCTTCATCAATATCCTAACGCTTTCAGAAGCTACAGCGAAATATCTGGATATAGGAACTAGGCTTAGTAAGAGTACTTTTAAGTATTTTCAGAGGCATTATTATAAGAGGAGTAACGTTTTAATTTATAGGTTAGCTAGCAACTTACATAGAATTGTTTACTTATGACAACTTGTCAAACTTAGAAATGTACACATTAATTGCATTTCGTCTTCATCTACAAATGGAATTATTTCAATTAATATGTATCGTATTATATTTTATCAAATTTCTGGGAGTTTCCATTTGTTGATTGCGCCACCTTTAAAAAAGTTCAAGAATCTCAACATTCAGTACGTTCCTAATCAATCTTATATTTTGTTTGTTCCAGCGGCTCCTTGTCATTTTGAACCATGCTTCTTCGTGGATAGGTTTGATTGCACAATATATATATATATATATATATATAGTTGGGTTTAGCAAGTCCATCATTGGTACATTGGTGAACCAACCTTCAGTCCAAAACCCAAGCTCATATTGTTAAATGAGGCTTTTTGGATATTCATAAAAGTTGGGGGGTCATAAGTGCAATATTCTCATTTCCTCATTTAAGTGTGGGAATCAGCAGTTCGTGGGTGGTGGTTATATAACGTCAAAGGCCATAGTTAAAACTGAATAATTCACTCTGAATGGTGGAACACTCAAAATTTTTGTTCTCTCCTTATCGATGAATTTGCTGTAAACCGAGTTTGTACAGTAAATCCGTCCCATATAAAGGTAATATCTGGTGCAACTAACATGTATATCTCCTCTAAAACTTACGTACATACATACAAATATATACATATACATGTATAAAGAAAATATAACTTTAAATCTCAGTACTTTACTTGAATTTTGCTACAGGTCAACATATTTTTTTAAATTTTATATTTCTATATTTTTATTTTTCAGTGTTTTATGTCTTTATAACAAGCTCATGGAAGGACATAAAATATTAAAAAATAAAAGTATAAGGACTTATATCAAAACTTCAACAAAGTGTAGGGACTTATATCAAAACTTGAATAAAATGTAGGGATTTAAGGTTTTACTTGAGTGTGTGTGTGTATATATATATATATATATATGAATGAGTTGGAACCAAGGTAGAAGGATATGTTGCTTTACTTGAATAAATTCCTTGATAGTCACCGAACCATTTTTCCTTTGATAAAAATATTGTTGAGAAACTTTTTTTTTTTTAAATTTTTGTAAGGACTACAATTTTCAGGAAACTTTTTGACAAGTAATAGTTTAAATTTCCAGATGTTTGAGAATTTTTGAGGACGTGAACAATTTGTCATGATATTTTGAAAGTTTCCTTATGGAAGATTTTCATTCGGAATTTTATTATTTTCTTATAGTAAAAATATGGTGATTGTAATACATTTCACAATTAACAGTGGGTTGAATAAAATAGAAAATGCAATGTGCTTTCATATCTTACATTTGGGGCTATCATATATGTATTTCGCTAGGGAGCCTTTTGAGTATTGTCTCTCCGAGAAATTTGTAAGTAAACTAAGTGGATTATGTTATTTGTAATTTATTTAATTAGAATATGCTAAGTTCTCCTATTTTAATACTAAAAAACTAAGTAATGGCCAACTAAGATTAAAATAAGAAAATTTGGTGCATTTTAATTGGACAGATCACAACATAGCTCACTCAGTCTACTTAAGAATTTATCTTGTCTCTAAAACCTCCTTTGATTCTTTTGAAGCATTTTAAAATAAATGAAACTGGAAAATAATTTGGAAATTGAATTAGAAATGAAATTGGAAAATGCTAAGAGAAGCATGTTAATTTAATGTGCTGGAAAAATTTAATGGAATCTTAAAATAACTTGTATTTAATAAAATATTAAAAATAATAAAAGACGATATTACCACCCTCTTTTTCGTCTCTTTCTTCCTCTCTGTCATCAGTTTTACAGATCCAATCCATAGAAATCAAACATAAATTTGGCCATGGTTGCGAGGATCAGATTTAACATGTAAGGATATGCAACATTAGATTTAAAGACTATATTGTAAATTTCAAAATCAACATTTTGATTGAAAAAGTTTCAGCACCATTTTTCAGATCGATTTAACTCAAAAGTTCATACCCGTACACATCATCATCATGCTTTCAATACAAAATTTTAGCTGAATTCAACTCCCCCCTACCTACATAGCTACAGACAGCATTAGCACAAGAGAAACAAAAAAAAAAAAAAAATTACAACTTCGACTAACAAATCACACATTCACGGTCACAGGATTATCAAGAAGAAGAGCTCAAGGCTTCTCACCTCAATCATCGACAACACAACAAGGAAGAAGGTATTCACGAGCTTTACAGGGGAGAGGGAGCCCGATGCAACCACATCACACCACTGTCAGAGATGAGAGATTCTGGTTCTTCTATGGTCATTGGCGGAGGATGGAAAAAAACATGAAGATGAAAGGAGAGGAAGGATGCAACACTTAAACGATTACACATGTGACAGAGAAGGGAGAATGACACGAAACAGGGGAGAGCAAGATGAAGAAGATCGATGTACTAGCCACAGTGGAGATTCTGGCATTCTCAAGGTCGCCAGCAACAGAGATGAGCAACAGGGATTGAAGCTTTAGGCACCAAATTCTTAAGGTCTCTCCACTGACCAGGATGCTTGCACAACTCAAGAAAAGAGAAAAGGAAAGAAAAAATAAATATTCTAATTGGAGAAGTTAAGGTAGGATGGTAATTTCTAACGTTTGACAAAAAAATAAAACTCCGCTGTATGCCCCAAGAGGTTTTGAGGAAAAAAAAAATATATATTT